GTAGTATCTCGTCTCTCCGGGCGGCGGCTAAATTAAGAATAACCGAATGAAAACAGAGAAGCATCATTTCCTCTTCCTGTGCTGAGTGATAAACAACACCGCTCTCCAGAAATAAGTGAATCTACAAAAGATGTGTGCCGGTTTATTTTGGGCTTCAAAAGTGGATAATAATCATGTACAGTTATTTTTAAGTCCCAATTACTCAGTTCGAGCACAGCCTACACTGACATGTGAGGGTGTGTACTTGTGTGGCTGTACAGTTTACATGATGTGTATTGGCGTGTGCGCACATGTGTGTGTGTCAGGAGCTGAAATCTACTATTAAAATGTTCCCCTGCCTCTGCTACTGTTTCTAAAGTGACACACCAAATTATCAGTGTTCCTGTGAAAATGACACGCAGCATCACACACACCAGAAGCTTCCGGGGTGCACAATGAACATCTGTGTATAAAAACATTGTTTGCAGTTGCCATGTTCGTATGAAACATTGCAGTTAGGTATTAATACAAGAGTTTGAATTTAAATCAAGACCAGTGCAAGGGGGAGACAATGGGAATGACACACGGAAAATGGTCCACTTCGGGACCTCGCTCCTATTGTGCCCATTTGTATAGGATTGTAAAAAAAGAAAATTCCAACTCTTCGGTAGACCTCAAATTATTTTTAAATGTATCCTATCCCTATGCCACAGTGTCTCCTTAAGCTAGGACCTCAAACTCTATGAAAGAAATGTAAACCAGCAGAACCAAACTGGTTAATGGTCAGAAACGCATATTCCTACATATAGGAAGATTGTAAATCAAGAAATTCAAACAATACCCAAACAACATGTATGCATAGACTGATCGTTCAAATAAAAAGTTACGGCAGGTTGACACACCCCTTAATGCCGTTAAAACCTCCACATGTTGACTGTTTTAGTATGCAATTTGATTTCTAAATGATTTCTTAATCTGTTAATAAATAAACAAAATGCATTATATTCTTTCAAATTGTCAGCTTGTCTTCCAGCAGAAGGATTTTTCGTGACATTATTCTATTGCAAATGTTTTGGAATACATAATAGATGACTTTAAATCGTTGTGTAAGAAAATTACTATACATTTTGGATATTATTTTGTGTCCTACTGTATCAACTGCCAAAAACAATATTGATTATTAAAGGGGCCCTATTATGCCCATTTTCTAGCCAATTTAAGCGTGAGTGTTAGTGATGTTACAAAAGTAAACAAAGGAGTCCAATAGAGGCGTTTCAGGAAGGGGAGGGAACTTTGAGATTTTAGCCTTTGCAGACCATTTACATGCACCAAAACCTATAGAACACACTACAGGAAAGGGATAATCCCAAAAAGCAAAATAGGGCCCCTTCAATTAATCTGTATCATATTGCCAGAGTCTAGCCAATACACGGCCTTACTTAATAGGTGCTTGTTTCTTCAGGACAGTTTTTAAACTTCTCTCCAGTTAATGAAGTTATCCATTAGTTCTGGCTATTTGTGTGATGCTAATGAAGTCAATGAATTCATCAAACAGTCCAGTGCCTCTCCTCCCTGAAGAACATGATGTTCTCCACTTTCTCCATCGAGCTCAATTTCTCAAACCCAGCTCTCGCGCTCCCTCTCTCTCCTGACTTGGCTCTGTCATATGCAGTTCCACATCCTCTGTCCATGTGCTAATGCTGTTCATCTTCATGAAGCTCTAATTAATTACACTGTTACAGAGAGTACAGGCAGAGGGATTCTGGCAGAACGGCTCCGCCACCTCGGAGAGATCAAGCAGTTTAAAGTCCGACCATGTTCACTCGGCAGCCCACACACTTTCCCGCTAACAAAACCCAATTAAAATGAACAATTACAAGCTGGACGATTTTACAAATCTGCCTTCAGTCCTCATCAATTATGAAGCGCGAGGTAAAGCCCTGTGCGAGTGATTATCCCTGACAAACACACACACACGCACACTTTTATCTGTGGTCTGAGCTCTGGTCACGGTAACAGACATGAGTTGGCTGAAGAAATGAAAACCAACACACATACTTGTATACACACACAGAACCACAATCCTTGTTATCAGCTAATTAATTAGCTAGCAGGCTTTCTTTTCTATTAATTGATTCCACAACAATGGTGCTCAATGTGTTTCCTTACGTAAAAATAGGTTGAGAAATAATACCACTGCCACCTCACATTGGAATATATCAACAGGAAGGCTGATTACTTTATGATAGATCAATGAATCTGCCTAATGAGGGAAATGTTAGTGAACATATCTCTTATCATTCCTCTCTTCCTACCAATCTATCTTTGGTGTTTATTTAGCTGTATTTAATTAAGCTGTGTTACTGTTTGTCTTTCCATTATTATTCCTGCCTCTCAGAAATATGTCAGTAAAGGCGGAAATAGATGCTTTCATCACGACATGAGATAAAACATGCCATTACATTGTTTAATAGAACAATAAAAAACGGAAAATTATCTATTCTCCGTTTTGCTGCTTTTAGTGTTCTCTTAGTATTCTGCTGAAATACAACAAATGAGCACTAAAGGCACCGATTGAAAGAAACATACAAATATGTTGATCAGGTCAGGTTGATTTGTGCAGTTTTCTACAAACTTTCAAACACAGTAAAAAGAGCAATATTGAAGTATTTTGTAAAAACAAGTTGACATGGCTTTGACAATTAAAACAATATATATTTTGGCGTATTTATTAAGTCACTAGGAAAAATGTCTTTCCTGCTAAATAAATTGCTTCAGAAATAAGCTCTTGTGTTAGATTTGAGTGTGTTGGAGGCCCCACTATCACATTATGTTAACAATAAACAAATACTGGAAACAAAATCAGACTATGTTAAATCTAAAGTTACAATTGGAGAATCTACATGATTTACTCTCGTTGCATTACGCCTGGTAACAAGCCTATTCCTATGGTAATGCACAAAGGCTGTGAGGCTTAACACAAGTGATGACATAGGCTGCTTTGTCAGAACAATCCCCTTTCAGTCTCAGACCAGCTCTGATCCCTGCTGATTTCTCTGAGTCATGGCTTCCAGAAAGAGAACTGAACAAAAGAACATGAAACAGGCAACCACAATATATATACAAGTAGAAGACTATAAAAGCACGAAGAAAGCATGAAATGAATGACAGCAAAGCAACCAAGCTGATGGAAATGGGGATGTACAGATATCCTGTTGGGAACTTCACACACCAAGTCAAACGTTTCCTCGTGATGCAGGGACATTTAAAAAGCATATCAATGCCTTACATGTAAAACACAGCACTTTATGCAACACATTGTCCCAGAACACTTTAGGTTTTATAGTTGAAGACAACTCCAGAACACAAAGTGGTTTTTACTTAACAGATATTCAGAGACAAAAATAACAGCCTCGCTATTCAAGTCATTAGTACATGTTCATCTATAAAGCCATGTTGGGTAAACTACCTTTCTATATCTGCTCTCTGATCTCTCGACGAATTGAAAGTACATATTGCCTGAGATCTCATGATGTTGTTTTATTCAATGTGCCAAGTGCTAGGACTGTCTTAGGGAAGAAAGCTTTTAGTTGTGCAGCTCCACTAAATTGGAACAGTCTGCAAACATGTTTAAAACTGAGCACTTTGGTTCCCCTGCATCATTTTAAAACTCAGCTGGGTGACATGCTGTTTGATACTCATGGTACCTGTCTCTGTAAATAGAGTTTGTAAACTGTACCCTGTACATTATGTTGTATGTCATCCTTATTGTTGTTCTGTTGTTGTTATGTTACATGTGTAACTAATGTGCTGCAGGTCACCCTTGAAAAATAGATCTTTTGATCTCAAGGGGCTTTCACCTGGTTAAATAAAGGCTACAAACAAACAAAGGGTTTGTATTTACACTCTTTTGTTGTTTTGAATAATTGAGTGTTTACCATGAGTCATAGGCCTCAACAGAACTGCTGTATTAAAGCAGAGAGTAGATTTCTCAAACATCGATGATCGTAAAAGCGATAGTAACGAGCTTCTATTAATTGAAATTAAAGTATTTACTGAAAAAGACACAGGGAGGAATAATGAAATGATGAGGCTTGAGGATAAATGTGAGGGAGCACCCATAAAGGTTTCCCCATGAATAATGAATGCAGCTTTTTATACCCTCTCCGTCAGATGTCCCTCTTTTCCCATCCTTTCACCATCTCTCCCTCATTCCTTACTCTCAGATGTTCACGTCTGCTATCTTAGGTCCCATCAAAAAACGAAAGGGAATCAGTGATCCAGCGGTAACGCGGACTCGACACACTCCTCGCCGTGTGACTATGACTGACTCGACTTTGCACAATGCGCGACAATGATATAGACACCTGCCTTGCTTCCTACAGATGTTCCTACCTGTGTATCTGCTAGAAAAGGGCTTTCCATTACCGCCTATGCAATGTATAACTATAGATAAGCCTATAATGAGCAGAACCAGGGCTGATCCAACTGAAACCAGGCAACACGCCGCGTGAGGTCTGAGCGACATGTTGTTGACGAACTGGAAGACTATAAATATATCAACGTTTTTTTAAGGAACGAGAGCTAATTGGCATGTGATTTGTTTTGAATATTTTATGCCAGACACATTTGTGAATTTATCATTGGCTCACAGCGCTGGAATATAAAAGAAAATAACTGCGAGCCTTTATCTTTCCTGAATGGTAGGGAAACAAGAGATTAACCAAATGGGAATGCTGTGACAAACATGCTGGATAAATTACTCTTAAATTAGAAAATGCTTAGTTGTATGAATAAGCTCCACGTTAAAGTAAAAGCTGATTAATATTCTATTTTTATCATTTAAAGTATCGTAATGATCGAGTTATGTGAAACATGGCGCTGTGTGTGTGTGTGTGTGTCCGGTTTCAGGTTGGTCATCAGCTGCTTCTGCTCAACAGCACCAGCCATCCCATTCACCATCTGCTTGTGCAACCCCCCTCTACCCCACCAGGGGTGCTACAGCCACTACTAGGACTCACCAAGATCCTTAGAGCCTTGACTTTCGCTGGCCATCTCTCCCATCCGCACCAGAGCGTCGAAGTAGCCCTTTGCAGCAAATGTGACACCTGGAAACATGGAAGCATTGGGCATCAGATCAAGGGGGCGGAGTTGAAATGTATCTTCTTCAGCTCCTGCAACCCTCCCCTAAAGCCCCCCCCCCCCCCCCCCCCCCCCCCCCCCCCCCCCCACAGAGAGGTAAGGTTGGGCATGGGGAAAAAAAGAGCGACAGGCGGAAATGGAGACCAGGCAGGAAAAGAAAAAGCTCTATGGAGGCAACTACAGGAAACAGAGATACAGCTGGAGACACTAATCCCAAGAACAACCAATTATAAAACATTCAAAACGGTCTGGAGCAACAACAACAACCACTTTGAGGTCAACCCCTTTCAATCAGTTTCTTTTAATTGCAGCAAAACATTTTTTGTACTTTGTCATAATGGTAATATATAGCCATTTAATCGGTTTCAAGTTCTAATTCATCTTAAAAGCTGCCATCACAAGGATAAGTTTACTTTGATTCCATGATGTGGAATTGGCCAATCCAAAGGCTAATGAATCTAATATAAAGTGTTAAACTACCTCTTTAAAAAAATTAAAAAAAGAGCCACATACAAGACATTTGACATTGTGGTCAAATCTGGGCAACGCATCCCTAAAAGCCATTGTCTAGTTAATCTTGGGATCAGTCAAATTAAGTTAAGGGTGATACAATGAAATATAATAAAGAAAGTCAAGTTTGAGTCACAAATTCATGAGTTTGAAAGCTCGTTAAAAGCCAGTGTATTAGGTCTGAATAGAACAGAAATAGTTATACTATATTGAGATTTCTAAATATTTCAAATGCCTACTGATGTGTTGTGCTCTTTGAAACATTCAAATACTATGTGCATGGCTAGATAACACTGCAGGTATTTGGTTGAACTGAATCTTATAAAATCCTAAACAGCACCATCTTAACAACTACCTTCTGAAACGTAAGCAGTCGTAACACACCTTCCACAGCCATGCTGTGAAAGCACTTTGCAATTCAAATTCTATATGTCATCCATTATTCTCTGCAGTGCATTGTCACACAAGCCAGGGACACTGGCTGAGACATAGCGGTGACTCAGGCCTTTCCAACAGCCACGGTTAAATAAAGCAGCTCAGGGGTTAGCCACACAGCGACTGACAGCCACGGTGACGGAGGAAACATGTCCGAGTGGGAGATACATATGGATGAGGGCTGAGTTTATTACAGAGCCGTCATGTCGATGTGCTTTGAGCTGCTGATGGACACTGATGTAGAATCCCCCAGAGTGGGGGGAAAAATGACAATGCATTTATATATTCATATGGGAAACAATGGAAGTCTATTCTGAGTTGAGGTTTACTTCATGACGAGCCCATGGAGACAATAAGAGAAGCCCACTGCTATTCAAGTTATTGTTCTGGAAATGAAAACAATGCCTGGCTGCTCAGTCTGTAAACATAATAAAATAAATCTTCAGACAAATACGAGACATCTTCTGATATAACTTCCAATTCTTTGACCAAACCAGTAAAAAAAAAAGAGCCAGTAAATCCCTACACAGCGATCCATCCCTCCTGGGTTAACTATGACAGAGAAGAGCCAAGACCTCTGTCTAGCTTCTCCTAAACCTGGCTTTAGTGAGTCTAGTTGGGATAAAAGAGTGCAATAGTAGGGATGGAAGTGAGGTTAAAACGGCTGGGTGAGCGCGACTAATTTAATTGATGTCGGAGAAATCCCCAAGCGGGAGGAGAGCAGGCCAGGTGAGGCCGGGTACGCTTCAGGAGATTCTTAGCTTGTCTGCCAGTTGAGACGTGATAAAGTGAGGTAGGAAGGAGAAGAAAGGAAGAAAGGGAAGGAAGGGTTCCGCCTGTAAGGAGGATTAGAACAGGGATATAAAGCCGATACAGAGCGGAGAGTGTCAGTGTGAATGAAACAAAAACAAGAAAGAAGTCAGCTGAGGTTCTTCCACAGTGTTATATCATATCCTCTCACAATCCCTACCAGTCAGAATGGATTTGATGCTTTGCAGTTCAAAAGACATCTAGGTTATAACTGTGTTAAAAGTATTAAAGCTGTTCTGGAAATAGCACTCATTACATGACATGTAACAGTTGTTTCAACAGTGAAACAGTTTTTGGGTTGGTGTTGGGCTTTACAAGCAAACAAGCAAACAAGCTAATTGACACACGTAACTGTAAATCATCAATAGACTAGTTGAAGAAGTTGGCAGATTATCCACAATTTCCTTTATCATTAGTTGTCCTCCTTGATACAAATATAATCATTTAAATGTAGTTGCATGCATCTAGATCGCTCTCATAGTAAATCAAATGGGTTATGTTAAATGTAATGCAGTTTTAACCAAGACTAGATATCTTCTGACCTCATAACTATCAAATCAGTGCTTAGACTCACTTTACTTCTCCCGGGTGAGTTTGCAATATTTCACAGCCAGCAAATGCAGATTTGAATAAAGACTGAATTCCAGTAAAGCCTTAACCACACTCCCCACATCGAGTACAATTATGGCCCAATTAGTTTCAACTCAAACAAAGAAAACAAACCACAACAACTTACTGCCTCAATACTGCTTGTTTCCACAGTCTCAAGGGATGAAAACCCCAGGTCTTGTGAAAACCAGAGGCTGAACTGGCATTTCTCCAGTGACAGTAGATACTCTGCCCTAGTCTATATTGTGCCTCTGTGCTGCTGCCTGGCATTGATGAAGTGTAATCCCCACTGAGGGAATCGCAGTTCTATTTATAGCCTTATCTATCAGACTGGAGTGAGGCCTCCTTTATTGGTCTTGTGTACTGCTGAGTCTTCCCCTCCGAGCACATGAGGGAGAGCCCTGCACTGCTCCACACCGCACACAGAACACAGAGCACCACCACTGAAAACACTGTACGATACCATCCTGATCCTCCCTGCAGAAGGAAGCTTCGTTATCGATAGATGAGCTCAACATGCTTGGAGGCTTGTCTTATCTTGAGCGAAAACCGGGAGCATGAAATATCTTAATCTTTGCTGATTCCAATCAGAGTCAGTAAATAGGAACAAGCTGCTAAAGGCTACTCATTTATCAGTTTCTCTTCACGTTGTTGAATATTTCGCTCAACCTTTTCCTTCCACCACTACATCTTTGTCCTCGATACCGGCTTGTTCTTGTTTCCTCGGCCCCACTGGGGGTACCGTTACTCTCGCAACTCCTCCTGATCCACTTCCCCATTGGCTTATGCTCCACTTAGCTCCCCCAAGACATTTCCAGTGGGTTTTTTTTTCTGTAACCTTGAGCCACTGCTGAAAGAACACCTGAGTTTTTCTGTGGCTCTCACACACACAAACACAACCATGCAAACCTGTCCAAAAAAAGAAGACAAGGGACGTACAGTAGAGGCGGACGTTTAACACCAACGAACCGGTGGAAGGAGGAAGACATGTGGACATCATCACACAGGTACTATCTGAGGATATCAACCCCAGTGTCATTTTTTTGGACCCATATTATAGGAATTTCTGCATTTGGTCAAGTTAAGGATTATGGGTTGATGCAGAAGTCACTAGAAAGATACTAGAAACTTCTGAATATCTGTGTCGTCATCACACATCTCTACTAAAGAGACATCAAAGAGGATAAAAGCAGCACCAAGTGTCGGGTCGGCTGGCCCTCTGCCTGGACTATACGGGACAGACAGGAGGAATGAAAGAAGGACGGAGACGGAGAGAAAACCAGAAACGGTTGGTGTACTCACTGGTCAGCGCCTTCTCGTAGCTCTTCCCCATGGCTATGAAGTTCCGTAAGCAGGGGTTGAACTGCTCCATGATGGACTGGAAAGGGGGGAAAGAAAAAACAGCACGCTTGGTTAGTCAAAAGGCAGAAAAGATACCGATACAAACACTGATATGAGCTAGAATGACGGAGTGCCACTCTTTACTGGGGCACGAACACACACACACAGTCAGATGAGCCAACCAGGAGCAAGAGGAGTGCAGCAGGGATTCGTTTCAAGCTCATGGAAGGGACGATGGAGGACAAGTCACTGGGAGGGCTTGTGTGTATTAGTGTTGTGGTGTTTGTGGATGAGGGGGGTCTGTCTCTATTTAAATGGACCCTGGTTTTGGCTGCTGACTGCCCTCCTCTCAGCAGTAGACCTGGATCCATCACTGTTTCCTTCCGTCTCTCTAACACTCTCTGAACTGCGGCTCACTGTTCCTGCTAATTGCTTTTTAAGTTATAAATAAAATATGATGTTCTCTCTAAGTTCTGGTGGTATATAGCCAGCATATCCAACAGACGTGGGGTTAGATATGGGAATTTATTGTACAAAAATAGATAAAACTCACAGTAAGTTGACTGTGGTAGATTTATAGTATCGGAATAATCTTGAATATTTTCAGATGACTTACTTAAATAAAAAATAGAGCCCCTTTTTAAGAAATACTTGAGTTATCATGTGAGAACATTATACATGTTTTTTGCAGTGGGACCTAATGATTACCTTATTTAAGACTTTTGAATTGCTTTTTACTAAAAATGATATGCACTAAAAGAGACGTGTGGCGCCAGAAGTATATGTTGTTCTTAACAAGATGTAAGGTAAAGCCATTCCAGTATGTTTTAGTGCAATTTAAAGAGTTTTAGAGATAATTATATTTGTATCGGGATCATATCGCAATTGCAATTATTTTGGCCAGGAAAGGCACAAGTAATGTTCTTATTGTCTCTGACTAGATCAGAAACAAAATGGTCTAACTTGATTCTTTGGGTTTTAGCTACACTAATAAAAATGATAAGTAAATATTCTACTGTGAAAACAGAAGCTAAAATGAAAACCAGTGAACAAAGCGTTTCAATGTCTTTTGGTAAGTGCAGATTCAACAGTCAGCAACATGAGATGTGCCATTTCTTCTGGTTTGATCCAGTTGTGGGTGATAAAGGGAAACTTGGAGAAAAGGCTCAACCAGCACGGAATTATCCCAGAAACACACAAAGCACCATCGAAATCGAAATCGCTCCTTTTTTATGACGGATAACAAAGCATGGGTCAGCAGCACACAGGCAGTGGAGTGTGTCTGCAGCGAACACAACAAGCAGCGTGAACCCTTGTTAACAAGTGAAGGAAACATCACAAATAAATATATATAATAGGTTTTACTGTCTCTGGAGTTACTCAACCTCCCCCTCAAAGGTGCCTTTTCACTACTGCGGCGTCTCAGGCAAGACCCCGTACTTTTACGGTCTTTACTTACTTTGAAATAGCAAGTTTTCGGCAGCACCCATGTTTCAGCCACGATATAGCGATGTGCATGTGTCAGGGCGAATTAACTAAATCAAACAATGTTTTTGATGCTTGTTAAAAGACAAACACTTTGCCATGAATAATATAAAGGAGGAGTCCCTCTGAAAGAACATCGTTTATTGTGATCCAAGGGTTTTTAGATACAGAGAGTGTCTTGTTATATGAACGCTCTGCTTGCATAGCTAACCACCAATCACAACCATTCTTGATAAATGTATCAAACAACGAAAGCAGACCCCGCTAGTCTTAGACCATCAGAGTCTTTTGGCTACGTAAATGATGATGTTGAGGAAAACATTGTCATGATCTAGGGCTAATTCCTTATACAGGGTACAGTATATGCAGGAATCCTGAAGTCAAATGTAAAACCTTTTAAGACCTTTTTTAAGACCCTTTCCGTACATTTTAAGACCTCATCGCCACTTGGAGTTTTAACCGGTTACATTGGCGACACACTTTACCTCACATATACAGTATTGATTGTCCTTCCTCCTTATCTTCCAACCATTTGGAACCACTTGCATTTCCCCATAACGATGTTGCTTCAACAACCGGCGAAAACGGACCTTCGCGCTATCAAGCAGTGAGCGTGCGATGTCCTGTTCAGATGACGTCAAATCCAACGGGATGCCATAAATAAACTACACAGAATCACACTACACACCTACGCAATGATTACATTCAGTAGAATACAACCTCTTTGGACCATTTATATACTTATTGAAAACAAGCTACAAAATGTAATACCTTGGAAAATGCCGTTTAATACTTTTAATAGCCTTGATTTTCGCTAAATTGATCAACTTTTAATACTTTTTAAGACCCCGCGGACACCCTGTTATATAGAAATACATTGCAGGAAAAACTATTGCAATATCATTTTTTTCCGATACTGTGTGTAGCCCTTTAAGCATGTAAGAAGGCAATAAGATTGAGGGATGATTGAGGAGAAGGGGAAGGATCAAATACGTTGCAATTACTGAAATGTAGCCTTTTTTCAGCAGGAGTTCAGATAAAAGGCAGCACTGTGTTTATAGGTTGTTATCGGTTGAATATTTTTCAGCATGGGAGTAAAAAAGTAAGGAGATTTAGCTGGTTAGAAAGGCAGGGGCGATACGAGGGTACACTTAAGGTTGACAGACACATCTATTCATGGCTGCTCGCTACGAGGGGTGCCTGCTAATGCCCGCCGGCTGACGCACAACAGTCACCTTGGTACATTCACTTCACCATAACTTCAGAAAGGGAAGAAGGAAGTAGGATAGGACGACGCAGAGGTGCAGGAGAAATAGGCTGACTGCCCAGTGAACAGCTTTACGGTACAGGTGACAAACAAACTTACACAGGAAATGTAGAGGAATGGGACTTGCATGGATATGGGCTGATAATAAATACATCATGTGAGGAAACTGGTTTGGATCCAAGCTGATTTATTGATGAAAAACTGATAGAACTTCTGATCAAAAGCACCCTGCTATGGATTCTCAAAGGAGAGTTTCTATCATCGCTCTACCGCAGAACTCACACAAACACGACAAAATGAAAAAAAAGAGGTTAGCAGGGTTTCTTTGTGCATTTCTGGGGACAAACAAACCTATTTATACCCCGATTTCCTCTCGCCCCACTCCCATCTCTGGGTGTATTTTGGGTTACGTAAGGCATCGGCTGATGAACAAACCGAGTGAGTGGAAGCGCTCCAGACGCTTGGCAGGAAGAAAGGGACGATCAACAAAAGATTAATTCTAGAAGATGGAGAGCGGCACGGTTCTCATGTCTAAATCAACAGAGGTACGTATTGTCTCAGTGTCGTGTGTGTAGAGTGTTTTGTGCCTGGGACTGACTGAGTGATGAAATGCGTTATGTAATCACTGTCGGACAGGTTTGGCTTCATGCCTCGAATTCTCCTTCTGAAACTATGTTGTTCAAATACTTTCAAACACGTGGATAAACACACACAGTTTCACTGATACACCAGTCAGAGGAAGTGGAAAACACAATAAGAACTTTACAAAATAAGCCAATCTCATCCAATTCATGTGTTAACCATGGCTTTGAAAAAACTTGGACGACCGACCAACCCACAGTCCAACATTGCTGGAAAACATGTTCATTCACTTTCTTGCAGTGTTTTATGAACCAAACCCAATAACACCACATGAATATAAAAGCAAGAGCCAGCAGAAGATTAGCTTAGCTTAGCATTAAGGATGAAAATGGGTGGACCGGCTAAAACTAGCTCTGTCCAAAGTTCAAGCCAACAAAATATCTCCTTTGCTTAATCTGCACACACATAGAAGAATAAAGGAGACCATTTTGTTTCAAACTGAAATGCTACCTCCGCGACCCGACCACCATAAGCGGGAGAAGATGGATGGATGGATTTTGTTTCAGGTGGTGCTGCAATTGGCTAGCCATACTGCATACTGCAGCTCTAACACTAACCCAACACATTTATTCTAAAAGCTGCATACTTGGCACAAACATCTGCACATAGCCCAGTGGTTCCCACATGTTTTCTGTCTTCAGCCTTTTTGGAAAAATAACCATTCTCATGTCATGCCTCTGCACTTTGACTGACCAAGCCTTACAAAGCAGTTCACTGCAATGAATACCAGTATGGTGGCAATTTTGAAGCTCTTGAACTTTTCCAAATTCTCTTCATTCAGAAGTACCGGAAACGTAGGTGGGTTCCAAAGGCCAAACACTATGTTAGAGTGGTAAATAATGTCCCAAGTAGACTCTTCACATCAACACCGAAACAATATGTCAATCACGTCAATGCTGCCCTTCACATGGTGATGATGAAACAATGAATGAGTTCTCCTCCCCTCACAACGTGCTCACACAGTTTAGGGATCATTTAGTGGGCCCATCCTGGCTTAATCCACTCTCAATCAGCTGAGCTTGTTCCTTCAGCACCAGGGACTGAGGCTGATTAGCATTCCACTGAATGAAAGACCATATTTGACAGAGTGCATTGGAAAGGATTACCTACTAAACCCCGCTTTGTCACATTTTGCCCGAGTGCTTTGGTCATGTGTTCTAATGGAACGGCTAATCACCTCACCGATTAAATGCCCAAACTTGATAACAATACAGGGATTGTGTTATCACGTTGGAGCGTTGGGAAAAAGCTTTCATAAACATCCTAGATCAACACAACTCAATGTTATCTGGATGGAAAACGCCAGCCTAACAACATGGTTCATTGTTTTCAGCTTTTTATAAACATTTAATACAAAAAAAAGAATAAATTATGTCTAATTTATCCAAAGATAATGACTGACTGGTTTTGTCAATTATTTATACGGCTTCTGTTTCACAGGGGCAGCTTTTTGAGTCCTGGCTGACTGACAGGAGCAGAGTAAAAGCCACAGCGGAGCTAATCACTGAACACTTTGAAATCTACCATGAAGCATATCACTGATCTAACGGGGAGATGGAAATATCACACAAATAATTAGCTGACTCCTGACAGCGGTGGGATGAACCTTTCTGAAGGAGAAGTGTGAAAACAAGATGGTTTCA